CACCATAAGAATTCGGAATGACTAAGAAGAATCCGGACACCATAAGAGTGGCTTGCCATGACCTAAGAATTTGGACGCCATCAGAATCCCGACTGAACCACCGGACTAAACCAATAAAAAATGATAGAACCCGCCGGTTCTGATTTTGAACAGGTCGGGACTTTACCAAAAAAAAAGAACAGAACCAGCCGATTTTGTGTGATACGTGTTTGACAGAACCCGCCGGATCAGTGTGGCACGTGTGGCGTGTGTTTGTGCCTGAAGCGGTTCTGATCTAGAAATACTCACTCCAAAAATTCATGATGCCATGTAATGTCATATTGGGTTATATAAGTTTGAGCTTAAAAAATCGGATTCAATTATTTTTTCTATCATCGCTTAGGCGGATTATCTGTCAAGAACTCAAAGCTTTTTTTTATGGAAAATTAAGTTGGTTGGTGTTATTCTTTGGTTGTTTAAATCAAATGTTGGTTATGATTGTAACATATTTCTTTTCTATTTGTCAAAAACTAAACGTGGTCTTCTTTTGAAGTTTTTCTAGCTTTTATGCGTATGTATGGTGATGGCATATTTGTTTAGAGCTTTTAAGATTTTTTTTGGTGGACAGAGATTTCGATAATTTTTTAGGAAGAAATAGAGTAAGAGAGGAATAAATCTTCCAATTTAGTTTTTCTCTGTAAAGGTTTATATATTAACCTTTGATTTTTTTATTTTTTTTCAAATTAATTATAGACATTTTATTTCTAATTTAAATTCTTATGCTTAAAGAGTCATGCTTAAAAATCCTTAAAGAAAATATATGATGAGACCATTTACTTTTGATACAAGGTGGTCACAATAAATCTTGACCATTGGATGTGAAATTGGGTGGCTGCGTTTATTTCATTGACCAAGCACAAAGTAGAAACAAATTTTTCTCAAACTTTGTGACACACTCAACCCATCAGATTTCACATCGAAATGGTTGTAAGTATGTGTGTCCTCCCCATTCCAAAGGTAGATAGTCTCATTGTAGACAATCCCAAATGCTTAAGAACGTTTTATTTCTTATTCTATCTTATAATCTTACTACTTCACAGCATTAGTACATTTTCCTATTAGTTAAGATAAATAATCATTGTTTGTGATTTATGTGCTTCTTTTTATGCCGTCTTTGTACCTAAAGAAAATTATGTTTGTCATTTGATAGTTGTCAATACGTGCTTCTTACTACTACTGTACATCTATCGCATTGTAGTTATATAATTCTCCTAACGAATTGTAGTTATATATTTTCTCTTACCAAGCCGTCAAATCTGAATGAATGGTTGAGATGGATGTAATTACAATGTCACACTTCTACACTATTTTATTTTTAAGTTTTTTTAGGCAAAACATTTTGACACCAAATTTTGAGCATCCACTTCTCGATTAAACTCACACCTGAAAAAAATATAATAACAATATTCTCAATAAAATAAAGTAACCAAAATACCCCTAAAATATTCAAAGGTATTTTGATCATTATATTTTACTCAAAATATTTTTTTAAAAAAATTTCTTTTTAAGTGCGCCCCATTGAAATGATGTCATGTACCAAATTTCACAGTCATATAATTTGTAGAATAAAAACTAAGAAGAAAATAGTTTAAAGTGTAGGATTGAGATCAAACGGTCGATAACTTATTTGATCGAAATTGGATGGCTGGATGAGAGAGAGAATAGAATTTATACACTAGGGTAAGAATAAAAACCTTTCCTACATCTATAAATCCAAAATTGTTCGGGGTGGTGGTGGTTGTTATAGATATAAATTGGATGAGAGTGGCATGTCTCATCTAGTAGAGCTCTTCTCTAGATAGCGAGACTCTTCTTGGTGTAATAAAAAAAAACATAGACCTTTTTGGAAAGTTGAATATTTTTAAATTATCTAGAAAGTTGAATGTTTTGTTCCATAAGAAGTCAGGTTCCATTAATTTCTGAAAAACCTAGAGAAAATCCCTAGAAAAAAATCTGAGAGCCCAATAAAACTTACATTTTGAAAGACACATGAAACCATTAATTTTTATCAGTGGATCTTGTCTCTTTTTCTCTCTCCCATAGACGCTGCTTGAGAAGATGAACTACATTAAATCTCGGTGTTAATAAATTATTATTTATTTTATTTGCTTTATTACATAATTTTCACTCGTACACACACATTGTTTTTTTGTGTATTTTATGTCCTATAATCTGGATTTCACTACGCGCACTTGCAATTGTGCGAGAAGGCTCGACTAGGTGAGCCCAACAAATTTCAATTCTTAAACGTTGATTACATCAAAACGTCCTAGGTTTGGATCAAATAGGGGTGTCAACAGGTTCCGTCGGGACCGGGTTGACCACAACCCGGACCCAACTCGGCTAGGTCTTATCTAGGCTTGACTTGGACCTGGTGACTTGGACACGAACCCAACCCGACACGACTTGATAGGGTCCATGCCAAACCAGGACTCAGATCCAGACTTGACCCACTGGTCCAAAACATGAACCCTGACCTGGACCCGGTTCAGGTCGACCCACCCATGCAACCCCTAGAACCAAAGGAATCTCCTATTTTCCATTAGGACGGATCCGTCATCTCCAATATCAGCAGGTCCAAAACCTCGAAGATCTGATCCGACTCCTCGTGACATTTATCCCCAACATAAAATGTATGCACCATGTCTTTCACCTCGATCCAACTACACCCACCGCCCTTCTTCAACCCCTTCTCTTTCATCAGCTTTCTCACTCGAGAAACATCACTCCACTGGCCCACGGATGCGTATATATTTGATAACAAAACATACCCAGCTGAGTTATTTTGTTCCAACTCCCATAGTTTTCCTGCAACTCTCTCTCCCATCTCATGGTCTTTATAAGTTTTACAAGCACTCAATAGAGAAGCCCACGAGTTAGCCTCAGCGTCAAATGGTATATCACTCAAGAAATTTTCGGCTTCTTGTAAAAGCCCGGCTCTCGCCAGTAAATCCACCATTGAAGTATAATGCTTCCCCTTAGGCTTTATATGATACTTGCTCTGCATTTGATCAAAGTAATGCTTTCCCCTGTTTACCATCCCACAATGAGCACAGGCAAAAAGAACCCCAAGAAACGTGAGCTCAGTAGGAGCTATGTCACTCTCCTCCATCTTTTCAAACAAGATCAAAGCCTCCTCTCCAAATCCATTATCGGCAAGCCCCTGAATCATGGCTGTAAAAGATATTTCGTTCTTTTCAGGCATTCTATGAAAGACCAGTTTTGCACTTTCTATATCTCCTGACTTTGCGTACATATCGGTCAGAGCAGTTCCCATGAAAACATCGTATTGGACCCCAAATTTCACTATCTTTCCATGGATGTTTCTTCCTCTCTCTAGAGATGCTATACTTGCACAAGCTCGAAGAACACTTGAAAAGGTCGATTGGTTTGGGAGCTCACCAGAGGTTTCCATGACAGAGTAAAGCTCCAATCCTTGCTCGCAGAGCTCATTTTGCACGTAGCCTGAAATTATAGCATTCCATGACACCACATTCCTCTCAGGCATCTGCTCAAAAAGTTGCAAAGCTTCTTCTACTAAGCCATTATGGCTCAAACCAGCAATCATGGAGTTCCAAGACACTGTGTTCTTCTCAGGGATCATCTCAAAAACCATTTTAGCTTCTTTAGTTTTTCCACATTTGGCGTACATGTCAATAAGTGGACTTCCAATAAAAACATTGGAGTCAAACCCAAGCTTCAGAACATAGCCATGGATCTTTTTGCCAAGTTTCAGGTCTTCTAAACTAGCAGAGACACTTAGGATGCTGGAGAAAGTCGATAAATTTGGTCTTAAACCTTCACTAACCATATGGCCATAGAGTTTTAGAGCTTCATCAGCTTCACCATTCTGACTATATCTAGCAATCATGGCACTCCAAGATACTTCATTTCTCTCGGGCATGGCATCGAAAAGCTTTCGGGCCTCTGCAAATTCTCCCTTCTCTACATACAAGTCGAGAATTGCAGTCCAGGAAACCACATCTTTCTCTGCCATCCCATCAAACACTCTCCTTGCCAATTCCATGTCACCCATCCTAACAAGAAGAGTGATAATGGAATTGGATACGGGTAGATAAGACTGGAACCCAAGCCTCACAATCTGACCCATCACACACTTTCCCTCTCTAAACCACCTCAAACACACACAGCCCCTAATGATACAAATGAAAGTTACATCATTAGGCAACACTTCATATCTGTACATCTCTCTAAAAATTTTCAGGGCTGCAATGTGCAACCCATTTTGCACATACCCACTGATTATGGCTGTAAAAGAAACCACGCTTTGTGTGGGTATTCTATGAAAGTATTCACAGGCATCATGAACTTTACCACATTGCATCAAACAAGTTATCAAAGCAGTCCAGGAAACTATGTTTCTCTCAGGCATTTTATCAAACAATCGTTTTGCCTGATCAGAGAGACCCATCTGAGAATAGGCAGAGATCATGCAATTTGAGGCAATCAGATCCGAAGAACGGTCACCCATTTCATTGAAAAGTGAATTGGCATCATGGAAGCTGTTGCATCTAACATACATTATGAGGAGTTTTAGAGAGAGAAAGCGATGAGAGAGAAAGCCAAGTTTGGTGAGATGAGCATGGATGACCTTTCCATGCTTGGTGGAGGCATTGGTGGCACATGCATTGAGAAGAGAGGCGCAGGCATTGCTGTAGGCATTAAAAGAGGAAGATGGGTGTGTGGAAGATAAGGTTTTGAGAGCAGATTTTAGTTGATCGGATTTAGCTGGATTGAAGACAACCCCACATGGTTTCATCTTGGTCCATTCCTATTCTGATAGCTGCTATAGCTTAGCTCACAGATAGAGTGGGTAAATGTTAATGAAGTGTTCGTTTGGCTAAATTTACTGCGAGGAGAGAGATGATTAGCCCCCCTTGCGGTTAAGAGAGTCTAATGCGGTGGTGCTTCTTCTACGGCAAGATACATACTTCCCATTCATCCCGCCCTTCAATTTAGATCAACTGACCTGTTGATCTACCAAGTGTATGAATATATATGGGATTCACAACCTTATATAAATGGAATGAGAGAGGAAAAATCTGAGTGTCCTATTTAGGATCACCTTCAAGGGAAAAAGTGAAGTTCCCTCGAGAGAGCGGCAACGGCCTCAATTGCACAGAGAAGGAGGTGCGTTTGAAGGAGCCTCTAGAGAGATAATTTAGCAGAAATAAGCTTCTACTTGTATGCCTCGCATAGAGAGAGGGGCCTCATTTCATTAGAGAAGCGGTTTTTAGATAGATATTTGGTGGTATGCCCTTGGTAGAGAAAAAATTGGTTTCTCATTACTCTCGTATTTCTATGGTATTTTCTGTCAAAAGTTAAAAAAGAAAAAGAAGAATGGCATGTGATACCGGTCGGAAGAATAGTTTTAAGGGTTTTTTGACTAGGTATTGCCAATGGTAAGTAAGATATTTTTTGGTGTCTTAAAATCTTTGATATAACTTTTTTTCTAGAATAGTAGATTTTTATTTTTGATGCCCATGGATGCATTCTTTTGAAGTGAATCGTATAAACTTCACAACCTTTCAAATTATAAAGGTTCAAGATAGAGAGAGTTGTGAAGGGTGGATTTATTAATTTTGTAGTCAATTTTTTAAAATAAGTTACGTTTGTAGAGTAATTTTGTAAATATTACTACAAGGCAAAGGGTATTTTTATCATCTCTAGAAGGGATAAAATTGAAATTTTAACTAAAGGATAAAAGCACTTTATAAATAAAGTTCTAGATACTAACTTTCAAAATGCCATTGTATTTTTGTGAAAATTTCAAATTTGTTCTTGTTTAATGGTAAAGTTATATATTTAAACAATTTTTTAATAAAAAAGTAATGATTGTTTTGATAAACACATCAATCATGATTCTTTCTAACTTGAACCTTTGTATTTTAAGGGGTTGTTAACTCTAGACAAACCCATAT